TGACAAAGTAATTTTAACTCAAATAGTAAAATGATGTACTCAAAAAATTGTTTCAAGTAAAAAAAATGATTATATCAACTATTAGATAAGATGAATAATATTGATATTCCTAGATGTGTATAGTTTAGAGATACATTTTAATTTTAATTTTCCGGAAGATAAAAAAATATCATTTTCTCAACTTTAGAAAAATATATGTGCAGAAACTATATATTCGGTCACTTAATTATTGTATACACAAATATTTTTTTTTCATTTAAAATTTTTTATAGCATATATATGATGCGGCAAGCCAATGTATAGCGCGTGGACCGTATTTTGGAACATTGCCTCATACTAAGTAATATGAGCTAATTTACTCTTTGATAATTGATTCTAAATTGGAAGTTTATAAATTTAATAGCAATAGGTCTCAATATTTTTTTCCTAATAGCAAACACAAGCGGACAAAAAGGCTTACATCTGCGTTCAAACTTTGCAAAAATTTCTATGAAAAAAAAGAAAATATTGAAAGAGATTCACATGTATGATGGTCAAAATTCCATCTATTCATTCTTTTTTAACATTTGCAAGAATGTAAAAAAGAATGATTGCCATGATTGATGATTGCTTTCTCATGTAAAAAAAAAAGTAAAAATTGACATGTAAACATAATAATTTACGTGATCGACATCGAGGTCTGAGTCAGATAGATCATGAAAATCATATATACAAACTGACCTTGCGGCAGCACCGATCGAAGCTGCCAGATTGTAGTGCAAAGATGAGGTTGTAAAGCTGTTCAAATGAAAAGGTTGCATTACTCATACACAACAATTAGAGGATTTAAGATGAGGTCTTAGTAATGTTGCTAGAAAATTAGGCCTTAGTAATTACCACATGGAAATAACAGATGTCTCTAGCTTTGAGTTTGGTAAAACTCCAGAGATAAGAATCAAAATCTCGAAAGCCGACCATTCAAGACTAATCATCATAGCAGAAGGAACCGCCAAGGCGAAGAAGTTCCTCATGTGACCAAAAGCTTCCATCGATACTAAAACCCGTTTGCCTTTGCAAACTCGAGAATGTCTCATGAAAAACCAGAGGAGAACCGCGTTGAGCCAATATGAAAGACTAATAGATAAAGCTGCACCTTTGGTTCCAAGGCCTAAAGTGTAAACAAATACCCAACAAACCGGTACGTGGAAACATAGACCGGTTAAAGAAGTGAGAACCATAGGGAAAATCAAGCTTTGTGTTTGGAAGTAACGAATCAGTGATTGAAGAACAGAGTAACCGAATAAAGCTGGTATGAGCCAAAGGCAGTAAACAGAAGCTATCTCTGATATTTCAGGGTCTTGGTGAAACAATAACAAAAGATTCTTCATGAAAATCCATAGAAGAGAGATTGGGAAGCAAATGATGAGAAGAGAAACAATGGAAGTGAAAGTATAGGAACCGAGCTTCTCGTACTGACGAGCTCCAAAGGCTTGACCACATAGTGTTTCTAATGCGCAGGCTAATCCAAACTGTGTCAAAAGTCAATGATATGAAACAGAGAAGAAATGGATCTGAGGAAACTAAATAGGACAAATTAAAAGGAAGATTTAAGTTAAAATGAGTTTGAAGATCGATGTTTTTCTTACGAGGACACTGAAGCCTGTAACGTTAGCAATGGAACTGGCGAGAGCTATTCCGGCGAGTGAGATCTCGCTTTTGTGACCAACGATCATTGTAGAAGTGGCTTGAAGAAGGTATAGAGAGATGTTTACGACCACCATTGGAGCCGCCATGGAAGCCACAC